ATAAGGACTAGACATATTTAATTAGAGAAAAATTCTTACCTTATAATTATAAATGATACCAACGGTTAAACGTTCCCCACGATTCACTTCTTCCTTATTTGAAATTACTCAACAAAACCAATGTTCAACATCCGAACAACTCAACAAAAAAAAAGAAAGAAAGGGAAAAAAGAAACGCGACTCTGTCACAAAACAACCTGTACAGCATTTAACGCTAACTTCTATTACCTAAATATGTTATATGTACAATTATTATTATCATTATTTATTTTATAATTATGATGTGTTCCCTGGCCGTTTAAGGCCGCCCTGGTCCCGCGCCCAAAGGCGATCTTGGCGGCCGTTCTGGAATGTCTTTCTTTTACCAAATCGAGTCACACATCACTGGAATAGAGTCGTTTATTTAATCTTTATGTATGTATATGCTTTAAAACTATGCTGCAAAGTCCAATTTGTCCCACGAAAGAGCAGCCGTAAAATCAGCAGGTGACCGATATTCCTCTAAACAGAAGGGATCAAAAGGGTCCGGTGCCGTTCCCAAAAGCGGATCGTAACCACCTAAATCCTGCTCCTGTTTTACTAAAGAATTCTGTTTGTTGTTGCTGTTGGAAGTTTCTTTTGGCAGTAAGGAATCTAGCCAATCGTCGGTGTCCATCGGAATTGGCATTTGTTCAGAATCAACGAAGGAATCGTTTTCGTTACTACCGTTCTCGTTCTGCTGACCTCCCAGTTCCATCACCAGCTGACTGAAATCCATGTTTTCCAAAGTGTCTAGCGTGTCAAAAAGTTCGTTGGGATCTAAGCCCAACGCTGCTTCTGGACTGTTTGGATCAACGTCTGACATTGGAGCACTCGTCATGGTAACAGTGTTATTATTGTTATTGCTACTGTTGTTGTTGTTGTTGTTATTATTATTTGACAAGTTGCTGTTTGTAAACGACGGCTCGCTAGTTTTGATGTCTGCAGAACCGGGTGTTTGGGGATCGTTTGCTGCACTGGGGGGAAGTTCCCCATTTTTAATTAGTATTTCCAGGACATCGTCAACTGTTTGGGACTTGATATGTTTCCCTTTCTTCAGCTGTTTCGTGGCCTCCTCGTACACTGGAGGTGGAGGTTTACTGCTTTCGCTGTATTCCATCTTGATGTCAGGCGCATTAATTACAGGTGTCGTGACGATAGTATTCAGAAAACCAGGGAAGGAACTAGCTTTATTGTGTCCGTTGATTATTTTCGCTTTTCCGTGGATAATATGATTAAGTACAAGGGCGGCATCGTTGCCGTTAAGTATAACGTCGCCAGTTAAGTTCTTCTGATTCTGGAAAGCGACATGCTGCTCCTGTTGTAGCCTCTGCTGTTCCTGCGCATGTTGAGCTTGCAACGCCTGAAGCTGCTGCATTTGCAAATTGAGCTGCTGGTTCTGTTGACGAGCTTGCAAATGCTTCTGCAGAGCAATTAATTGAGCTTTCGGTTCTGCTCTGGTGGCAGCTTGCAATTTCAATTGGGACAATGTCAGTTCCCGTTGCAATTCTTCAATTTGCCTCTGCTGTTCTCTGACTATGTCGTCCTTCGATTGCAGTTGGACGTGATTTTGGGGGGTTGGTTGTCGCGGTGGTTGAGGAGGAGTGGGAGGCGCAGGTGGACTCTTGGGATCGTGAACGTCCATGTATTCTGTAGATTCATCTTTGTAAGTACTTTGGGGAGAGCCGTTATCGTCTTGCGAATAGTTAGATTCGCATGTAGTTACAGAACCAGGAGTTGGTGCTTCCGAGCAGAAACTTGAGCTAGTGGAGGATTCGTTATTGCCTGTAAACGGTTTGAGCCTCTCGATCAATTGCGGTTTCGAGCCGGATACGGGCAAACTTCTCCTTTTCAATTCCGCTTTTAAATCGCTAACTTTCATGTCCTCCAATCGGCCAAGGAACTTAGCCGCAACTGTCGGTTCTGAGACGGTGCTATTTGTACCGTTATGCTGCGTACTCGAAGACGTTGAAGATCCATCATTCGAATTCTTCTGCGAAGCAGGTAAAATGATTTGCGGATATTTGTGTTGCAGCTGCAGTTGAAACTGCAGAAGTAACGTCTGTTGCTGCAATAGCAAGTCGTAAGAACTCTCTCCCGTGGAATTGTTGCCCAAATTGTTCGCCAAGTTGTTTTTCTGTGCGCTCGGCGGACCTTTGTACTCGTGGAATTTAATTGTGCGAGTTTTCGGTATCGATTTTGACTTGGATTTTTTGCGATTTTTATCCTTTCCTGGCGCATCAGTTTTGCAGGGTGACTGCACAGGTCGGGGCGTATAAGAGACGGGTAAAGGCGGCGGAGCAGGTGTAGAGGGCTGTGTCGAAGGCACCGGACTAGCAACTGAGGACAACGGACTCAATGTGGAAGTGGAGGACACAAGAGACGCGGCCGGACTGGAAACGGAATTCAAAGAAAACACCGACGCGTTTCCGGAGCGACTCAAGTCTGCGAACACTACTTCACTATTGTCTTTATTGAACACCGGCGTTGTTGTAGTGACCACTACCGTTCCCTCTGTCGCAGGTATGAGCGATACAACAATTCCAGCGGATTTCGCGGCAGTCTCGATTACATCTGAAGAACTCGGACTGACGACACTATCACCTTCGGAACTTTGCGAATCGTCTTCCAACGTCACGTATTTGTGGGGAAGTTGCGGCCTGTTCAACTGACCCTCGCACGTGGCTTTATACGGTATACGACCAGCTTTTACGGCGTTCTCGATCGGTTCCTCGGTGTGCAATATGTTTTTCTGAATAAGCTCCAAGGGTCCAGGACGGTGAGACAACTGGTCATTGAGCTGGTCTGCCAACCGAGCCTTTTTTAACATGCGCTGCTTCTCAACCAAACTGGGGTCCAGATGACCGCGATCCTCGTCCAATATATGCCTCCTTTCCAGTTCTTGCCTGGATGGACGTTGCTGGATCTTCGCTTTGAGAATATCGCCAGTTTTCGCACGTTCGAGCTGTCGTCGCTGGCCATGATATGCTGCCGGTGTTTTGTGAGCTACAGCGAAAAAAAAAAAAACCTACACATCTACCCATAAAAGACACGAGGCAGAGAGAGAAGGAAGGGTGGGAGAGAAATGTGACTTACGTGGCATGATTCCTTGGGCGACCAGCTGATCGAAAGGACGCCTGAGCATGAGCTTCACCTTCAGGGCTGCAACAAATAGAGATCGCGCTGTAATGACACATGTGGGTCTTAATTGATTTTAAAAAGAAGTACAAAAAAACGTGAACATTTGGTGTTCGGCCCACGTTTCAGGAAGGACGTGACGGTCACATCCGATCGTCATCGGACGGTCTACACGATCGAGCGACCACTCGAGACTGGAACACACACTGGCGTCGTTCGTTGTTGATGTTGTTTGTTGTTGTTCAATAATATTTGTTGTGGGTGTACAAAATTGTACAGAAAGTGAAAATGCGCCGTCGTTTCTATACCGACACTGGCTGCAGACCGAGTCAAAAACAAGGTGAATAAATTAAATCGCGCTTAATAAAAATGTCACAATAAAGACGGGAAAATCTTGCACAACCACGTGTGGGACTCTCGCCGCTCTGGCTCGTGGGCGAAACGGATTATTTAAATCTGGTCCAGATGATCGGTACGCTACGATTTTTCATTAACGAAGTAGGTATCTGGATTTACAGGTACATGCAGCTCGGGACGATAGAGAAACAAGTGACGATCATGCACACACGACGCTTACTTTACATGACCGTAGGTAATTACTCATGTAAATTAATTGTAATTGCGTTCGATTGTGTTCCATCCACACTTCTTTTATTCAATTATATTTTTTTCTCTATAACTACATAAACAAAACAAACGCAGACTACTGCTAGATTACGCGAAAAAATAAATACACTTATTAATATTATCAGAATGATATAATACACATAGTTCTTGATTGTATTTATTACAATTACTCCCATTTAGTCATTTTCGTTTTAATAGAATTTATTATCACATGACGCAGAGATATCACTGTATACGTAGTATCTACTCTTATCATCATTATTTAAAAAAATTGCCCATACTTGCTAAATCATTGTTATAATGTGAATTTCTTTAATACAAATACTCCTAAATATTGATAAATCAACCCTCGATCTGAACAAACAAGATAATTGTTAATCTTAACTACGGTCAGACTATTATTTAAAAAAATATATAAATAGGATGAATTATATCTAAATAAAGACGCTATTACAAAAAATATACGTTCTTAATAACTCCCAACTTACTGCTTCTCAGTTGAGAAGTACAGAAATCGCAAAACCATCAGCCTTTAAATAACTCGAGCAGGAACACGGGATAAAGGCCCAACCAGCGGAAAAAGATTTTAGATCCACTCAAAAAGTATAGTAGGGAACAAGACCGAATCAACAGATCACTCAAATAACCAATGTAACGTAATAATCCTTGTCAGATAAACAGGTTTATTAAACTGTGAACGAATTTTCAGAGTACTTCAACTTTTTGTGTTATACCTTAATCTCTACAAAAATTCAAGGATTTTAAAAGCTTGTACTGCATGCTTATCTATTATTTATTTAGACATAACAGTAGTTGCGTAAGTCGCACCGTACTTTAAATTACAGGCTTCCGTAATCTACGTTCAATAAAAAAGAGTGCAGAGCGATCGGTCACACGACTCACACACCGAGGGCCATAAGAACAGATGCACTTTCGTGAAATTTTACGCAGAAAAGTCCACGCAAACAAACGTTTTGTCAGAGTGGTAGGTATTAAATGAAAGGTTTATATGTCTAATGTGTTGACGAAAACCTAAAACAACAAAAAAGCTCATCGTGACACTGTGATTTTAAATTAAGTGGAGGGATGTTTTGGGTAAAATCGTGTAGGGAGGCATCAGGAACTTGCACAGGTATCCGTAACTCAGTAGCGGAATCTTCTATACTAAGCCAGCAGAGGAAAGTTATATTTCTTATTTCTGAAATGCACTATAACATCCGTTAATTTGTTACCAAATCCAAAAATTTGTCGCTCCAGCTGGCCACTGACAAATAGGCGACGCGTTAGTAAATACAAAACTGGCACTGTACCCATCATATCTCGAAATTTAAATGGAGAATGACCAAGAAAAGTACTTTAAGGGTCATAGTTTGTCGCTGAGTTCAGTCTCAAGTTTGCTAACCAGCGAAAAACGATTGGAGGGTCGTCAAATCAAACGAGCTAAGTTGCACTCTTTCAGCGACAAATTAACGACAAATAATAGTTATTACAATATTTTTCTATATTTCCATTTCGAGATACACTGTGTAGTATCGACTTTCGCTGATCAGCTTGAGGCTGGACTCACGACAAAAATGAGTAGAATTACCATCTTTCAGCGACAAATAATGGCCCTTAAAGTATCTTTTTTTCTATGCCATTTCTATTTCGAGATACGCTATCTAGCGTCGGCTTGAAGGCTCGCTAATTGATTTCCGGTGAGTAGCTAGATGCTGGATTCGCGACAAACATGAGTAGAATTACCATCTTTCAGCGACAAATAATGACCCTCAAAGTATCTTTTTTCTATGCCATTTCTATTTCGAGATACGCTATGTAGTGTCCGCTTGAAGGCTCGCCAATTGATTTTCACTAATTAGCTACAGGCTGGATTGGCGACAAAAATGAGTAGAATTACCATCTTTCAGCGACAAATAATGGCCCTTAAAGTATCTTTTTTCTATGCCATTTCTATTTCGAGATACGCTATGTAGTGTCCGCTTGAAGGCTCGCCAATTGATCTTCACTAATTAGCTACAGGCTGGATTGGCGACAAAAATGAGTAGAATTACCATCTTTCAGCGACAAATAATGGCCCTTAAAGTATCTTTTTTCTATGCCATTTCTATTTCGAGATACGCTATGTAGTGTCCGCTTGAAGGCTCGCCAATTGATCTTCACTAATTAGCTACAGGCTGGATTGGCGACAAAAATGAGTAGAATTACCATCTTTCAGCGACAAATAATGGCCCTTAAAGTATCTTTTTTCTATGCCATTTCTATTTCGAGATACGCTATGTAGTGTCCGCTTGAAGGCTCGCCAATTGATCTTCACTAATTAGCTACAGGCTGGATTGGCGACAAAAATGAGTAGAATTACCATCTTTCAGCGACAAATAATGGCCCTTAAAGTATCTTTTTTCTATGCCATTTCTATTTCGAGATACGCTATGTAGTGTCCGCTTGAAGGCTCGCCAATTGATCTTCACTAATTAGCTACAGGCTGGATTGGCGACAAAAATGAGTAGAATTACCATCTTTCAGCGACAAATAATGGCCCTTAAAGTATCTTTTTTCTATGCCATTTCTATTTCGAGATACGCTATGTAGTGTCCGCTTGAAGGCTCGCCAATTGATCTTCACTAATTAGCTACAGGCTGGATTGGCGACAAAAATGAGTAGAATTACCATCTTTCAGCGACAAATAATGGCCCTTAAAGTATCTTTTTTCTATGCCATTTCTATTTCGAGATACGCTATGTAGTGTCCGCTTGAAGGCTCGCCAATTGATCTTCACTAATTAGCTACAGGCTGGATTGGCGACAAAAATGAGTAGAATTACCATCTTTCAGCGACAAATGATGGCCCTTAAAGTATCTTTTTTTCTATGCCATTTCTATTTCAAGATACGCTATGTAGTGTCCGCTTGAAAGCTCGCCAATTGATTTTTACTAATTAGCTACAGGCTGGATTGGCGACAAAAATGAATAGAATTACCATCTTTCAGCGGCAAATAATGGCCCTTAAGGTATTTTAACTATTTCGAGATATACTACGTGCAGTGCCAGCTTGATGACTCCTAATCGACTTCCACTGATCATCTTGAGGCTGGACTCACGACAAAATGAGTAGAACTACCGTGTTTCAACGACAAATTGAAGCCCTTATTGCACTATTTCTCTATGCCATTTCTACTCCGAGATATGCTATGTGTAGTGCCAGTTTGATATTAATTTAGCAAGCCGTCTATTTGCCAGTGAGCTGGAACGACAAATTTTTGGATTTGGAAACAAATTGGTGAATAATTAGTCGCAAAATGTAGAGCATTTAAGAAACGGTGCTAGCTTAATATGGGGGCAAGGTAGAAGCTCTCCTGGCTGTTTCGAATGGAAGAATTTCAGATGGGTATTTAATGTACTCTTTGCTGTTTTAGTTTGTTATTCTACATGAATAAATATTTTAAAATAGTTAAGTAGGTATTTTTGAAGAAATTTTGTTGATTTCCGAATAATATATAACGCTAGTTCCTGCTTTAACATCAATTAAAAGCCCAAAACTGGTTGGCAAGTCCCACAACAACTAAATTCATTCATATGAAATGTATGTACTTTACAATAACGCGTTTGATAACGCATTAAACTAAATTTTTATTGGGCAATAAAGGAATATTTAATTAGTTTAGGATGTCATTTAAAACCGATTGCCAGTTAAAATCGAAGGATACGTGTGGGCATTGTAATAATGATTTCCTTCAATGATAACCACTAAGGTTCTGTTACAATTTTTCGTTAATATGCATAAATATTATTTCACTGACAGTTCCTTAAGCAATTAAAACCTCTCACTGAAAATTGATTACTACCTATTACTATGATAATTCTGTTGTTTAATACAACACGCAAGGTTGCAGTGGGCCGTTTCAGATATATGCATTACCTTTAAGTATACACAAGTACCTATACTGTTAAACGAAGATAAAATTAACATGCTTACAAAATACAATTATTATAATTGTCCATACCCACAAAGCACACGCTTTTCTAATCTTTTGGTTTAATTTAGATGATGTTCTAGAGTTGAGTTGAGGTAAACTGTATTGAATTAACTACAAGTATCATCAAGAAGGAGTCGTAGGTAAATATTTGTGTGAGGTGTATGGAATCAGTGACGTTAGGTAGCCCAAATTATGTTGGTTCAGTAATGAACTTAAGTGATTAGATTGCCTAGGAAAATAAGCCGCTAGTTGATATTGAAGGAAGATGGACTAGACCAGATCACAAAGTAAAGTAAAGGAGAATAAGTCCAAGGCAATTGTAAAATCTAAAATCTAGTAAGATTAGTACAGTCTATTTCAATTTGTTAGAATTGTGACCTTGAAGAAATCTGCGCGAAGATAGAAAGAATACATACTAGGCGTGAGCAAGACAGAAATAGTTGGAACAAGCTTGAACGAGCAGAGCTCTCGATGGGCGGGCTTAGGACATCGGCTAAAAATGTACAGTACTAGACGAAAATGTTTAGCAATTTCTTAAAAATAATATGTACATATATAAGTTAACAATAGAAACCAAAGCAACAGTTTTATAGGTGTATAGAACGTTAAGTTACTTCACTTGTAATTATTTTTGGCTAAATATGCTTTTAAATGAAGCATTTTAACGAGACGGTTTAAATAATTTTGCAAATGGTACTGTACACTTTTGTCTAGTTTTCGCTCGATGATCGGTGGAGAAATGAGCTCCGCAGGCAAATATGATTGAATTTGGAATTATGCTACGGCGCATCCTAATAAAGGGAAGGGGCATATCTCTAACTTCTTGAAACGAACACTATGCTTAGATTTGCATATTATATAGCAGTATTGGTATCTAGCAAGGAGGAGTTAGACATAGCTTTAAATAAAATGGAAACGGTATTGACAAATTCTGTATTGTATAAAAATAATTAAAAGTAAAACAAAAATACTGGTATGCAAGGTAAGTAAAAGTAAGGCTGATTTTTAGGTATCTAGGAAGTCAGATAAGTCAAGACGAAAGGAGTAGTAGGGATATAAAGCAGAGGATAGCGCAGGGTCGAGTCGTCTTCAATAAAAAGAAGTCACTTCCATTTTCTGCGATATTTATAAGCAAAACAACTAAGGATTTTTGAGATAAGTGGAACTGAGAATTGTCCTTGTTTCAACATGTTGGGAAATTTCTTAATCTTTAGATATTCCTGCAAATTTCAAGAAATACATAGGTATACAACATTTGCTATAACTAACACATGAACTTGAATCCTACAGGAAAAATTCAGGATAACTGCAATATTGTGTGAAAAATCCAGACAACTCAAAATCTTAATCTTACTGTGCGACAATGAAACAGATTTGGTTAAGCTAAGATGACTACAAAATCGCCAAAAATCACGAAAATATCGTTAGGTTAGATTATAATTTAGTATTATGCCAAAATTCACGTTTCTACGTTAAACAATTTGTGAAAAAGAATTCTGTTCTTTTGCATTTTGTCCAAAATTTTCTCCCTGCCTTGACGCACAGCGGTTTAATTCAAGTAATCAACACAAAAACACATCATCTGTTATTTTGAATCAACATGATCTAAAGATTCTTGGCCAGCCAAGTGCTACATAATCTACGCTCTTCATACTTAACGTGGATCATTTCTAATGTCAAATAAATTAAAACAAAACTTTAATAAATGTCAAGGTCGATTGTCGTCCAAGATTTCGTTAACTGTTAGGAAAATTATGTTAGTAAGACTGTAAACATGACATCCAAATATACTTACGTATAATAAGAAACCTAAACTGTAAAGAAATTATACTATTAAGAGTGATTTAATGAAACATGTGCTCGAGGTACGCACATTTACGCCAAATTTTGCTAAGCTAAAAGTGGAAATGTGACTTATTTAGATTAACATAACTTTTTGGCGACTGCCATAATTTTGAAAGAAAATACTAAATATTTATATGTAATTACATAAATAAATAAACTTTTGAAAATAAAAATAAGTTTCGTCAATTATTAATTTGCAACTTTTAATCGTGTAAAGTCAGGACGGAAGGAGTTGTAGGGATACAAAGCTGAGGATAGCGCAGGATCAAGTCTAGTCGCCTTTAATAAAAAGAAGTTATTTCTATGCTCGGGAACGGTTAATTTAGAAATTCGAAAAAGATTGTTAAAGGTGTATGTTTGGAGCGCGGTGCTGTACGGGTGCGGTACACTTGGACGGTGGGCGCTGCAGAAAAGAAAAGGTTAGAAGCGTTCGAAATATGGTGTTACAGGCGAATGATGAGGATACCGTGGATACAGAAGGTTAGAAATGAAGAGGTATTAGAAAGACTAGGAGAACAGAGGACTATGGAAATCAATAAAAAATAGGCGAGATAGGTTGGTAGAACACCTTTTTAGGCATGAAGGTCTAGTCAGAGACATATTAGTGGCAGATACGGGGGTTAGAAAGGGTAGAGGTAAACCTAGAATAGATTACTATTCGCAAATAGTTAAGGATGCGGGTTGTTGTAGTTTTAGGGAAATGCGAAAATTAGCTCAGGATAGGAAAGAGTGGAGGTGTGTGTCCAACCAGTTTCAGAACCTTATGATGACGAGTCGTGTTTGATACCTAATTAATTTTTTTTAATTATATTTACAATGAATTTCCTCAAACTTCAAAGGTTAATATTAAATCCAATTTCAATATTCTCGCATACGAGGGCTGATGGTTTTCTGGTCCTAATATTTGCGTGCGTGCTACTGTTTTATAATCAAATCTTAGGTATAAAAAATAATCGTAAATCTTCTGCTTTTTACAACCCTTTAATGAAGCAAAAACTAATATAGGTACGGTGTTGACTTACTAAATTTATTTAATTTGTATTCCCAAGTTTATTATGTATATATTACAAGTAGAAAATAGAAAGCTTAATCTAATCAAGTTGATCGACTTTTTTTACTATCTACGTTTTTTCTCAAACATTGCATTTTACCCTGTTATGAAGAAAACCGATAGGTCAATATCGCTTTATCTATCGACTAAATATTTAATAACCCCCAACCGATAAATATAGTATACTAGTTTTATCGAAAATCATAAAAGTTAAGGTTTCTACTTACATTCTTTATTGTGTTCCAACGAATTAAGCAGTGGCGTAGTGTCAATAATCGCCTTGGGCGGGGAATCCCTCGGGGGGGACCGTTGTCCCCCTTCCGCCATCACACTGCCGTTGTTACTTCCACCACTACTGTAGCTACCACCACTACTACTGTTGCTGCTCCCTGAGCTACTATTGCTGTCTTTGAACCACTCCGGGTAAATAGCAGCAATCGTATCAACTAAATCCTTGTCCAACTGCAGCTGCCAATATCCGGAATCGCTCCGGTGGGAAGACTCTGGAACAAGCCGAAAAAGGACATTTTACCTAAGGTTACTACTGTGATAAAAACATCGCCTGTCATGACATCTTTCCCATAAAAATATGCTCCCAAATTGTCTGTAAAAGGGATTTTTATTAGAAAATGTTACCTGTTTCGGACATCTTGCCTGGCACCTACAGGAATTGAGCAACATTAAATGGTAATAAAAATTTCACAAACATCTTCAAAATTTCAGTAATTAGTAATTAAGTACATTTAATCAAGTTGATTTTATCTTGTTTGTTTATTTGTATGATCTCAAACAGATTCCGATTAAAAGAATCACAAATTTTACATTTATAATTTAGAACACAGAAGCAGATTACGAAAAGTACTAAGAATGATATCGATTTATAATTCACGTCGAAAGAAATCTTTCACTGAAGGTTTCAAAATATTCGTAAATGAGATCAAGTATACACTAAGATGTTTATTTACTAGAGGGTGGAAGATCACAACGAATTTTCGCAAACATTTATTTGAAATAATCGATTGATAAAACCAATTGTTTATTTTTAAATCAATTACTCTCATAATGATTCACAGATTATGTGTAAGCTTGTGTGATACAATTAACATAATATGTATTTATGAATCAAGATATTCAGCCTACACCTTGGCAACTACCTACGATCTCAGAGATCTGCTTAAATTGGTATTGTAATTGCCGTGAAATATATCACTTATTTTAATGACATAAAAAGATAAAATCTACAGTTGCAAAAACTAAAAATTGTCAGTTGAACATATTGAAACAAACATATCAATAAAGGAAACACAACTGCAACTTTTGTAAGTAATACCTAATCAAAATATGAATATATCATCAAATAATGCGGCTTCATATGTACATAATAAAAAAAAACCGTACATGCTTTAATTCCAGGTGGTCATTTATTGTGAAACGGTTTTACGACCACGTGGTCGCAGATGGTCCATCGAGCCGGACAACAATAACGTTTCGCTCTTTTTCGGGACCTTGTAAACATTCTGTTTGGGCGGAAACGTACGAGGCGCGAAACGTCACACTCGCACATACACAAACGCAGATACGTAATGATAAAGCCGATGGATGTGAGACAAGGACGGTCGCGAACTTACTGAAATCTACACAACACAACGTAGGTACATGGTATACCTCTACGTTGAGTAGCGATGGTTAACAACGTGGTAGGCGTTTTGTGTTGGCATACAACCGGATCTCGGTGAATTAATTAACAGCTTTTTTCAATAAACTTGATCGTGATCCAAAACAATTATTACGATCATCGACGATGGCCAGACGGAGAAAATTGACATGAAGTAAGGTGTATACAATGAACCGCGGATGGGCGAGACCATTTGCACAAAAAAAAGCCGATAAAAGATTACGAGAACTGAAACTATAACCACTGGGCATGCCAATCAACATCTGTTTCTTTAAAGAGGACAATTTTATACTAGATACAGGTGAAAATTTCGAGATGAATTTTCAAGTTTACGATTATTTCAAAATAATACAATTTCAAATTATATTTACACATCTTTAATTAATCTCTGGGTAAGTTGGATGTAAAATTGCGTGTGGTATCGTACATTTGAAGCACCTGTTTCACAACCGCTTTTTTTTAAAGATAAATATTATAGCAAGTAAGTAGATACTATAGGCATGTCTACACCGAATATAATCCAGAATCTATATTTAGACAATTGAAAAGTGTGCCAAAATCTACTTCAAACTTCTCGCTGCAATTAATTGGACTAGCAGCTTGTAAATTCGTACGACAAAGTTTAAATATACCTACATGTAAGTAATGCTTAGAACGAGAAACCAAAATAGAAAAAAATAAAGCACAAGTTATTATAAGTTTTTTAAAATCTTGAAATGTCGATTTACAATTTCTGGTTAACCTGATTGCAGTGGTGCATGCCAACTTTCCCGGAGTGCATATTATGCAAAGTTTCTTAATGATAACTGATTTCTTAAGTTTAAGACCTACGGCGCTTATTTTTAAACCGCCGAGAAACGGATAGAATTTTGAAGTATTAGTCGTAAATTTATCTAATGATCCTCCCTGAAATTTAAAATCTAATTTAAAAATTAATGGAATTAAACATTACTTTTTAAAGATTTAAATATGCGTTTAGAAAAACAAAGATATTTAAAACATTTTTGACATATGAAATACATCACACTGCCTTACTAAGCTTAAAAATTTCTACCTAAAGTTCGTTATTTTATGTTAAAACTACTAGGCAATGCTCTTCATTTACCGTATGCGAAAATTCAGATCTTGGTATTACTTAATGAGAGATAGACCGGGTATACCGTTTGGATCCGGTATCCTGCGGATCTAGCACTTGTTTAGAATCCGACCAGGTACCTAATAATAACATCTTGTAGATTTTTAGTGTTAATAAAAATTATAGACTCATTTCAACGGTTCCAACTCAATCATCTGGTTAAAAATCCGCCAAGCAATGTTGAAAATTTCATTTGGTTATGGTTTCGACGACTTTAACGTAATTTAATGATTGGTTTGGGTCACAGGTAAGGGTGGCATTTAATAAAAACCTCGCCAGAACGAAAACGTGAACCATTAATAACAGTAGTGATTTTGCCTGGTACCCGATACACCTAATGCAGGGTACCTCGTTATGCGGTGCACTTCTAGTTATAACCAAGATACCCTTTTTCGCATACGGTATAAATCTCCCACCAGAGCGTCCCATTACTGATCAAACAGTACTAATATGGTAAAAATTGTGCGAGTCAAACCATTCTCTCCCTCTGTTTATGCCAATGCTTCCACTACACCTGACATCCATCCTGAAAACCTCCTTTCGTAGTTCAAATTTTTAGTTCTTGCCCTTAAACTAAGTTTAACTAACTAACTTACATGCGTAACCATACATTCTTTATTTGCTTTTCAATTGGTTGTGTACACAAGAATGCATGTTAATGAAATTGCAGTTCGGTTGCCATTACTAAAGAACATCAAAGTGTTCGGTCTGCCTATATGTATGTATGGCTAAGTTGTTTGTGTTTAAAATACAAATGCACAAAATGGGTATTTCGAAATCTTCAATGTTATTGTTATTGCAATCGACGCGCATAAACAACGTACCATTTCAAAAATTGGTAAATTCGGTACATAATGCAAGGTTCACGAGAAACAAATAAGTACTTACAGGGTACCTTTTATAAACATTTTGTGCAATATTAATTTGAAATCATTTTTTCGATTTTTTATTTACCCACTACAAACTACCTCAAATTAATGAGGGAAAAATTGTTGCTGTTGTCACATCCCCGCCGGGAATCGAACCCGGGACCTTTGGCTTTACGCATCAACGTTCTAAACCACTAAACTACGAGAGGTGACAACAACAACCACGACCAACCGACCTACAAGGTTAACGATCCGTCGAACTAATGTAACTATATACTGAATATACTATGATTAAACATACATATAATTTNATATTAAATATTTGAAATCCTATGACATTGTTAGTTACTTAATAGTGGATTAATATGCAATAAAACTTTCAAATCATTTTTTCGAATTTTCTATTTACCCACTACATTCCCTCATTAAATTGAGGTAGTTTGTAGTGGGTAAATAAAAAATCGAAAAAATGATTTCAAATTAATACTGAACATTTTTAAATCCTACAAAATGTAACAGATGACGTTGAAAGCGCTGTTTGTAGTAGTTTACAAAACAAAAGAATCTTACTGCAAATTATTAAAATATAGTAAACCATTATTTCGCCAAGTTCAAATCCAAGTAAAAATAAGCAATGAATGTAAGATAGATAGGTAAAAATGGACCCTTTATTACAGTGTTTCCTCGGATATAATCCCCGTCGAGGCCCGCCAGCGAAATAAAATTTTATTAGGGAAATCTAATTTCCGTGGATCGCGCTTATAAAAAAGTCTAGCACAAGAAAAAGCGCTGATGATTTGCGAATTGCCGCGCTGCTAGCTTAAAATGTACTTACGTAGTACCTGGCCGATTTTTCCAACTGTTACAATAATTCTTTCATTTATATTCAGTTGTACGACGGGCTCGATTAAATGTAGGCGGCCGGTGCGAAGAAATTAATATTTAATTAATTACTCAGCCGTAAATTCTATTAGCAAGAGGAACGGTAAATATTTATAGGAAGCATCGGTCCACGAAAACTTAATTCCGCCTCGAAGGGACTAAAGTGGGATTGTAAACAAATTAAGCAGTTTCGTGATCTAACACAATTCTCTCCTAAAGCAGGTGAAAATTAATCCTTGAAATTAAACAGGCACTGTAGCAAAAAAAGAACTTTAAATAGTATCACTGGCAGCGCAATGCTTGACGGTATTACGCCATTGAAATTTTTGTGCATCAGTGAAAACTAGAAAAGATTTCTGAAATCATAGAAGTAGGTATGGAATTGTGTATTTTTGGTCGTCCACCAGACGGACCTAAGCCTCGTTTAACCGTTTTCCCACAAGTGGCGCAAAATGTCCAAAGCAGAGTGCATGTCACCAACCTAAAGAAAAACTTTTGGGTGTTTCATTCCCACCAGCCACTAACGCTGGTGGGCGGGCAGTCCCTCCGGACTATGCCGGAAGGTAGGGTGGAAGGCCCTCTTCAGTCTCCTTTCAGGAATCGTGGGAATGGGTGGGTGGTGGTTCGGGTGAGAAAGATGAAACGGACGAAACGAAGACAGAAGAGAATGAAAGATTATCTGTGGAATATTACTGCCTTAGCATTTGCCTAAGTCATCCAAGGAAACCACAGAAAAACTTAAACCAAGGCGTCACCAACCTAAGTCCAGGCGTGCCCTATGGACGTAACACTCACGACCGATCTTTCCCTTCCTTACCGTCCTTCACTTATTTGCATACAGACAATAAACACAACCGTCATGTTTCAGCCTCAGGTTGCATGGCAGCGTTCCTTAAAGACTAAGTTTTCAGCTAATGAAAATCCCTCTTTCTCGCATCTTC